AGTATATATTTTCTTAATTATTTTTTTGAAAAAATCTTTTTTAATAAAATTAAATTTCAATTCTTTATAGACAAATTTTTTGCGTAAGTTAATCCTAATTGTTTTGTTCATTTAAGTTCGATTTACAAAAGAGGCCAGCACCATGGGGAAAAAAATCACATAAGAAAATATCTATCTTAATTAAATTAGGTACAATTTGATTCAAAAATACTTTTAATCTTCTAATTAAAAAGAAAAAAAAAGTTTAATAAATAATGAAAACACAAAGAGATCTTAAATTTCTTGCAAATTTGCAAGTCTAGACGTGGATGATGTAATTATAATTCGGTAAATATAAAGATGCATGCATCTAAATCTCCATACCATGAAGGTAATAATTTTTTATTTTATACAATGGAAATTTTGAAAAACAAAAAGGAGAGAAATATTATAACTATTTCTATAAAAAATTAAACTTTAATATTAATAAAAAAATTTTACTATCCACTACCAGCACATCTCAGGCTGCTAGTGCGATTGATCTTTAATAGCTAAACCCTTGACTAAAGCAAATTAACACTTCTTTCCACAGTCTTTTTATAAAGCAAATGAGTATAAGTTGAAAAGAAACCAACCCAGCTACAAAGTAGATTTTTTTACTTAGCAGTGAAGAACTCTTAAATCATGTACCATTAAAAAAAAAAGAAAAAAGAAAAAGTAAAAGTCATGTTTCCATACTTAAGGCTAGTAGCTCTATTGGTCAGAGTGCACCTTACTTGTCTCAAGCGTTGGGTTAAATTTATATTGATTAAATGTTAATTTTAGTATATTAACTTTAACATTTTACATAATTTTGTTTCTTAATTTTTTATGTATTTTTTTGCCCTTTAATATTTTCATGTACTTTTTTGGTCTTTTAATTTTTTTATATACTTTTTGGTCATTTAATTATGAAAAATATGCTTTTTTTAGTCATTTTATTAGTTAATTCATTCAATTTGTCTAAATATATACATTTTTAGTTAATTTACTTATAGTATATGCATATATTTTTTATCCCTCAACTTTAAATTAAGGGATTAAAAATATACATATTTAAA